GAGTACAGTTTCTTTCTTACTGTTTGTTAACCTTTTAAAAGTTTCTCCTCTTCCCCTGCCTTCCTTTTGGTCTCCTATCAGGAACTGAAGAACCTGGAATAAAGAGAGTTAAGGGGGTCAGGAGAGTTCTGATGGGCTGGCACCTTGTGCCCCAGCGAAGTTCCCTCAGTCCATCTCATTGATGCAAGGTTCAGTTTGCTCACACTTTGATACCCTTTAAAAGAGCATAATGGTAAATGCAAGTTAAAGCCACCGTGGGATACCCCTGTCCAACTACCAGAGTTGATCAGGTAAAAAATAGTAACACCACCAAATGCTGGTGAGGAGGCAGCATTTGGATCCCTTGTATGTTGCTGGTGGAAATGTAAAATGGCCACTCTGGGAAACTGTTGGGCAGTTCTTATAGAACTCTAAACATGCAACTACCATGCAGCCCAGCAAGCTGACCCTTGGGCATTTATCCTAGAGAAATGAAAACATATTTACATAAAAACCTGTACATGTATGTTCATTTCAGTTTTTATTCATAATAGCCCCAAGCTGGAAAACAGCCCAGATGTCCTTCAACAGGTGAAGGGTTAAAGAAACTGTGGTCCATCCACACCATGGAAACTATGCAGCAATATAAAGGGGGCAGTCTTTTTTTTTTTTTTTTTTTTTTTTTTGCGGTATGTGGGCCTCTCACTGTTGTGGCCTCTCCCACCGCGGAGCACAGGCTCCGGACGAGCAGGCTCAGCGGCCATGGCTCACGGCCCCAGCCGCTCCACGGCATGTGGGATCCTCCCAGACCGGGGCACGAACCCGTATCCCCTGCATCGGCAGGCGGACTCCCAACCACTGCGCCACCAGGGAAGCCCAAGGGGGCAGTCTTTTGATACCTGTCACAACTTGGGTGGATTTCAGGGAATTATGCTGAGTGAAAAAAAGCCAGTCCTGGGAATTCCCTGGTGGCGCAGTGGTTAAGAATCCGCCTGCCAGTGCACGGGACATGGGTTCAAGCCCTGGTCCGGTTCAAGCCCTGGGAAGATCCCACGTGCCGCGGAGCAACTAAGCCCGTGCGCCACAACTACAGAGCCTGCGCTCTAGACCCCGCGAGCCACAACTACTGAGCCCGTGTGCCTAGAGCCCATGCTCTGCACCAAAAGAAGCCACCGCAATGAGAAGCCCATGCACTGCGACGAAGAGTAGACCCCGCTCACCACAACTAGAGAAAGCCTGCACCCAGCAGCAAAAACCCAACACAGCCAAAAGATAAAAAACAAGGAAATTAAAAAAAAAAAGCCAGTCCTAAAGGTTGCATACTGTATGACTTTTGGAATGAAAAAATTTTAGAAACGGAGAGATTATTAGTGGTTTCCAGGGATTAAGGATGTGGGGTAAAGGAAGCAGGAAAAAGGTGGGTGTGGTTATAAAAGGGCAATGCAAGAGATGCTTGGGGTGATGGAGCTGTTCAGTATCTTTACTGTGGTGGACACTGAACCTATATGTGATAAAACCTTTTATGTGATAAAACCGTTAAGAACTAAACACACACACACAGACGCACACACACACACACACACACACACACACACATACACGAGTGCAGGTAAAACTGGGGAAACCTGAATGTCTGTGGATTGTTGCAATGTCACCATCCTGGTTGTGATATATTCTGGTTTTGCAAAATGTTACCATAGGGGGAAATTGGGTAAAGTGTCCATGGGATCTCTCTGTGTTATTTCTTATAACTGCAGGTGAGTCTACAGCTGTCTCAATAAAAATCTCAATTAAAAAAAAGCATCATATAAAATAATACTTGATTCGAATTTAAATCTCTAAATTAGAAACATCACAACCCAACATTAAATTAAGATTGTTTTATTTGTACACGTTACTTGATCAACATGATTCTTTGTGCCTCGTTTCAAGTGAACAGCAGTTTCCAATCTTAACCTAAATGAATTGGGCTATTCTGACTTTTAGGCAGATCTTTAATCAATTAAAATTAATTAAAATTAACTAATTGATTTTAATTAATTAATTATATTGGCTGCGCTGCCCGGCTTGCGGGATCTTAGTTCCCCAACCAGGGATTGAACCCAGGCTCTCAGCAGTGAAAGCACGGAGTCCTAACCACTGAACTGTCAGGGAATTCCCTAGGCAGGTTTTTAAATCTTGAACTTGACATAGATTATGTCTGTGACCAAAACTGTGCGCATCTGCCCAGATCGCCCTGAGAACTTGCAGAAAACGTTTTTAAAGCCCTTCTAGTGATGAGTCAGAAGTATTGTTTTGGAATAAAACATAACACACTTTCTTTTTTAGTTTTGAAAAGTTAAAAGATTCCTGGCATATTTGATATCAGAGGCTCAATATCTGATATTTAAGCATTTTTGCTAAAGAGGACACAAGTTTGATAAACTAAATACATAAGCACTTTTGGAGTAGAAATAGGTGGGACCGGGCTGTCTTTGGGCCTTTGCATATGAAAATGGTCTTTGAAACACTTGGGCAAAGCCCCCCTCCTCCTCAGAGCAGCAGACCTTCTATGCTGCTGCCTGCACTGCTAGGCAGTGTCACATTTCTACTTCTCGCCCTGTCTGCCCTGCTTCTTGCTGGTCTAGGTGTGTGTGTGTGTGTGTGTGTGTGTGTGTGTGTGTGTGTGTGTGTGGTAGGGGGGGATAGCGGTTGGAGGAGGTGTGCCCTAAGGGCTGCATTGATGGTGGGGGACTGTTCCTCTGATGCCAGTCAGAGAACAAGGCATGGAAGACTAATCATGCTGTATCAGCATCTTAGTGGTGTTTTCAAGGATGGGATTCCAATTGCATTCACTTTATAGAATGAAAAAAATCAATATGTTAGTCGGGTTCTAATTTATGTTTTAAAATAGGTGATTTTTTTTTTGCATTGTTCACATCTTTCCCTTTTTATCACCTGCCCGCCGTGAATGTGTATAGCGGAGTTGTCTTTGCCCATTGGGGAGGATGAGTGGGTAATAGGAGGGATAGCAGAGAATATGAGGTTCACGTGGGTGCATTTTCTGTGATGTCTTAGAGAAAATTAGACTCTGTCTGCCTGTACTCTTCGGCAGGAGGAAGATGGTGAGGGGTGAGAGTATAGGACAACCTTGTGTGCCCCCATGGTATCATTTGTGAGCACAGGTAAATTCGTCAGAGAATCTCTGGAGCAGATGGGGTTTGCACAGCACTATTAAGTAGCTCCTGAAGGTTGCTCCAGCTTTTTCAAGCTGAAGCAGCTTAAGTCTGTGGTTAAGTTCCCAAATGGATCCCAACAAACAGGCTTTTTCCAAATGGCACTCAATAAAAATGTAGCTGTGTTATGTGTTTATGTACGTAGCCATGCACACATGGAAAAAGATTCCAAGTGGTAAATGCTGTAGATCAAGTTGAAAAAGACACCCCTTCCCTTTTTTTCGTTCATTAGAACTACTTAAAATAGTCTCTGGTGACCTTGTTCCTTATAATTGAACTCTGTCCAGAGGTGAGTGCTTGGGGGAAAATTTGAAGCAAATTTATGTGGCTGTTTAATGTGGGTAGTAGGATGGAAAAATAGTAAAAACGAACTGCAGATTTCTCTGATTTTCTTGGAACTTCAAAGTGGCTGACCTAGTCCCTCATTTAAAATGTTCTCTCTTAGGCTGGAGTATAAGTTTGGTAAGGAATTGTACTAAGGCAGTATTTTGGGAGAGTTAGCACTGAAGGATGGCATTTACAGTGTGCAGTCCACGTCTGTCTTTCCCTTAAAGAAGTCTTTTTGTTTTCACAGGAAGCCCTAATTTCAAGCAGCCCCTACTTTTCAACTCAGTGTATTCCTGGAAATCCTATTTTTGAATGCTCACCAAAAAGCCACATCATATTTTCCTATAGGAATAATAACTAGTATTTGCCTTGTCCTTCCTGTGTATGCAGACACCATTATAAGCATTTCACGTGCATTAACTTAGTTAATCCTCACGACAACCTCATGAAGTAGATACTGTTACTATCCTAATTTTATATCTGAGAAAACTGAAGCACAGAGAGATTAAGTAAGTTGCCGAGGGTCACACAGCTAGTTAATGGGGATACCAGGATTTATTTAGTCAGTTGGACTTCAAAGCTTGAGTAATTACACCACTAAGATATGTTGCCTCTCAAACAATGTTAAAACATTATTGTGGTTTTTTAAGTAAGGATTTACCAGCCAGATATGACCAAGAGTATACTGTAAAAGCAAAGACATGTTAATTTATCTGTTTAGTTATTCAATGTCAATAAGTATAAAACTTGATAATGAAATAGAAAAATTCTCTCCTAAAATGGGAATAAGTGTATTAATTGGATTGACTATGCAAAGGCCTCACTATCACTGAAAACAGGTAAGCTATACTTTTTCTGTGACACAAACTTGACTGTAAATAATATGCTAATGAAATAAAAATGTAATTAGAGATTTACTTGTAAGTCTCTGGTTTAAACTCTAGAAAGCCTTTTGTGGTTTAGATGGTCCAGTTTTCTCATTAAGACTCCCGAGAAATTTGCACCAGTATTTTATCTTACCTTCGTTTTGCAGAATAGTGTGCCAGGTTGGCAGCTTTTCTAACTGTCTTCAGGCTCCCATAATGTCTGTTGAAAGTCAGCCATAAATCTTATTATTGTGGGATCCAGTGGTCTGGGTGGTTTTGGCTGAAGGCAGGAAAGTGGCTCCTTTCTCTGGGTGGATCTGGTGGAGTTCTGGGGACCTGCGGCTAGGCAGCCATCACTCTGGGGTTAATGTGGAAAGTCCCTCTGAATCCTCTTTGTCTGTGTTACACTAAATCCCCAGGCCAGTGAGAACAGTTTGGTTAATGGGTCACAAGACATTACCCTCTTTTATGTAGAACCTTCAATAGCAATGCCTGTTAACTTACCCTTCTTTTTTCTTCCTCCCCCCCCCCCCCCCCTGCCACTCTCTCTCAGCTCTCCCCCCCCCCCCCCCCCGCCCCATGTCTTTCTCACTGGGTCCCTCCCTGTCTGCAGCACAAACCCTGGATCCTCACAGCCTATGGGATGTGGGCCTGCTGGTGTGTGCTGGGGACCCAAGGCACAGCCATGGTTCTTATTCACACCACCATCTCCTTCTGTGTTGCCCAGTTCCGGTCGCTGTTCCTGTCATGGCTCTGTTCTCTCTTCCTGCTCTCTACGCTGAGGCTTCAAGATGTGGAGGAAGTTATGGTAAGAGTCTCCGTTTTACCATTGGGAAGGAGAAGGCCCCTTTGGCAGTGCCTTTATCCAGGTAGATGCCTTTGTTTTCAGACAAGAGTCAATTGAAGAACTGTGGTGGCGCTCCCTCTAGTGGCCACAGGGGGTTGATGCATGTGAACCCTGGTGTTGCGTTCTGCAGTCTTTTGTATCTATGTCTTAGTCCTTGGAGGTTGCCCAGCGCTGACCTTGTACCTTTTCTCCCAGTTTGGGCAGGCATGGATGGTGCCAGATGTCACAGGAACAAAGGGGAAAAAAAGCAATAATCCCCTATGCATTTAATAAAACAATCATCTGTAGAATGCTGCATGGTTTATAGGGAACTCTCACATTCCTTATCTCATCAGAAGCCCACGATAGTCCCTGAACAGATAAGACAGGTATTTTCCTTGCACAGAACATCTTGGGAAGCTTTTGATATTCTTTCTTTAGTCATGTGGAACTGGGCCGCCCGTGGTGTCTTTATTTTTGTTCATTTGTTCACTCATTCGTTCACCTTTTCATTGATTTAAGTGATGGCGCTTAGAATTGGTGAGCCCTGGATCTGCACAGTCATGGGAAAGAATGCGACTGGAGGGATGAGCCAGTGGTTTTCTAGTCTCTTCTATTCTCTGTCTCTCCTGCTCTTGAAACTGGAGGCGGTGTTTAACCTCTGAGTCTTAATTTCGTCATTTGGAAAATGGAGGTAATAGCTGCTCTGCCTTCCTCATGGAGTTGTTCTAAGGATCCAACAAGATAATACGTGTTAAGCAATTTTGTAAAAGTGGTAGCATTTTGAAAATTCAAGAATTCTTGCTGTTGTTAGGCTGTCTTAATTTTTCTTCACTCTTACCAACGGACTGGGGCGAATACTTCAAGCACATGTCTCAAAACCTGGACTTAAGAGAATAAGCAGGGTAGCGTCTCTCTCCTAACAAAGATACGTAACTTCCCAGAGTGATTAAACTAGGCGATCACTTAAATAAGTGTGATTAAAAATAGATTTGCGATGAAAATAAAAACAAATTCACACCTAACTTTTGGGGGACCTGGCAAACGTTCAAAGACGGTCTCCAGTTGTAATTATCCTTTATTTGGGGACTCTTAGCATCAGTTATGGGTGTTGGTGGTGAATAAGTATTCCATTTGTTATGTAAGCTGGTGGTGTGAAAAATATTGCTGAAGGGGAGAGAGCAAATGACCAGAAACTAGTTGCCCTGGGTTTCCATACTTTCATACATGCAGTTTTCTTGGTTTTCCTTGGTGGCTGCTGAAGTCCTGGACGTGGAATAGAAACTCTGTTCGGTGCTTAGTTTTTCAGTGTAAAGCCTTAAAAGACCCTCATGGATCAAGTGAACAACTCTTTCCTTTGTCCCAATTTTATTTCTTGTATCTATTTCCATAACCTGTTTTCTCATTAAAAAAGCAATACAGGGCTTCCCTGGTGGTGCAGTGGTTGAGAGTCCGCCTGCCGATGCAGGGGACGCGGGTTCGTGCCCTGGTCCGGGAAGATCCCACATGCCACGGAGCGGCTGGGCCCGTGAGCCATGGCCGCTGAGGCTGCGCGTCCGGAGCCTGTGCTCCGCAACGGGAGAGGCTACAAGAGAGGCCCACATACCGCAAACAAAAACAAAAACAAAAACAAAAATGCAATACATATGTATTATAGAAAATATAGAAAAATATAAAGATTATAAAATGATCCATAATTTTATTCCCTCAATATTAAGATTTTACCACATTTGCTTTTAGTCTTTTGTTCCGTACCTAATTTTGTACGTGCTTGTTATTCTTTCATGCTGTGTTGTAATTATACTTTTACATACCTATCTCCGGTATGAGAATTTAGGTACATTGAGGGCAGGGACTATTTCTTTTGACGATGTTTCTCTAAAGCTTATTTGGAAAATAGTCTTCCACTACATGTGGAGCCGAATTAATGATAGAAGAACAAAAGGAAAGGTACGCTGAGCACATAAATCCCACGTGACATTTACAGACACACCCCATTTTATTGCACTTTGCGGATATTGCATTTTTTTTTAACAAACTGAAGGTTTGTGGCAACCCTGCGTTGTCAGATGATCAACAGCATTTTTTCTTTTTTTCAGCGATAAAGTATTTTTAAATTAAGGTATGTTCTTTGTCTTTTTAGACATAATGCTGTTGCACAGTTTAACGGACTACAGTATAGCGTAAACATAACTTTTATGTGCACTGGGAAAGCAAAAAATTGTGTGACTCTTTATTGCGGTGTTCGCTTTAATGCGGTGGTCTGGAACTGAACCTGCATTACCCTGAGGTCTGCCTGTATAACTCTGTCTTTGTCTTCAGAGTTGTTGAAGGAGCTGTTAGAGTACCCACTGGATGTAGCTGATCTCCATGCTGTCCGCTGGTGTATCTGACAGATGCATACCTGGGAAAACCTTCACTCTGTGTTGCATCAGCCTTAATGCGAAGCTTACGGCTGATGTTAGGGACACTCTCCTGCCCGTTGCTCATTAATTGCTTGTTTTGATGATTGATGATGTTTACCTGCTGTTCAGTGGTTCTCGACTCCCTGGATGGGACAGCTGCTCTGCCTGTGGAAGAGATCTCCTTCCTGGGAGACTGGATGACATCCCTCCTTGACACTCAAGGTTGTTGTCTCCTTGTGACTTTGCAGAGAGGGTGGTACCAGACGGAAAATGAGTACTACTTGCTGCAGTTCACACTGACCGTTCGCTGCCTGTACTGCACCAGCTTCAGCCTGGAGCTCTGCTGGCAGCAGCTGCCGGCTGAGCGCACCTTCTGCTCCTTTCCCTGGATGGTGGCCTATGTCTTCTACTACCCAGTCTTCCACAACGGGCCCATCCTCAGCTTCCCGGAGTTCATTGCACAGGTGAGAGCCTTTCGGGGATTGGATGGGTGTTTCTGCAGATGATCCTTCTGTCTTTGTTGCTGTGGTCATCCGTGAGTCTTTTCATACAGGGGTGCCCACAAGTTTAGAACACACATTATTGCCATGGTTTCTGATAATAAATGAAATACTTCGGGGAAATAAGCCTTCAAAATAAAGGTCAGCATGTCTCTTGTGCCTGTTGGTTGTAGGAGCTCCCACCCAGATTCTCTGTGGACTGTGGCAGCCAGAAATAATAACTGGGCACAGCCAGGAACTTGGGGGTAGGCATTCCTTGCAGGGCAGTCCCAGAGAAAGAAAACTGACTTCTCATGGTATTACCTGGAAAGTGGAAGGAGGAACTGGCTAAGCTCTTGTTTGGCAAATAATAGGTGCCCTTGTATTTTCATAAACTGCTTATGAAATAGCTCTGCTGTGGCCTGGGAATTGTTCAGGGCGATCTGGATGGGATAACAGAGTGGAGTTGAAGAGGGTTTGAGAGCAATGGTGTGCTTTCGGGTCTGGGTGCCTGTTTCTGCCCAGGATCTTGCCTCCCTACTTCTGGACAGTAGCCTTGTCTGGACAGCAGCCTTGTCTGAAGCTCATGGGAAGCCACCTTCGTCATTGCCACCTCACTTCTCCTTCTAGTTTGGAATTTTTTCCTCATTCCACAGCTAGCCTCGTGGAACACGTGTACAAAGCTAATTCCCCTAAAGTGTGAGTAATCAATTGATGTTCCCTAAAAACAGTGTTTCTCAAAGGACATTCCTGTCTCCCTCCCCTCAACAAAACAATCCCCATAGAGGTGAGAACAATAACACGTACGCACACATGTGCAAGCACACACATGTACACATGTGCACACACACTGGGGCCTGGATACGTAGTTCGAAGAGCACGGCCAGCAGCAGTGTTTGACATTTTCGGAGGGCAACCCGAAAGGTGCCCCCTACACAAATAGGAGGGTTCTTAGAAACCCCTTATTTCGTCTTAAAAATTTCACTGAGTTGCACATTGTACTCAGAAGTATATTTCTGCATTATAATAATAACTTAATGTTTAAAAATTGCCAGTTAAATCATTGAATGTTTTCCTCTCTGCAAATCTTTAAGTGAAATTGATATTCTGGGCAGATGTATGTTTAGTACATGGTTTCTCATACCTCAGTTTGGGTTACCTAGGATCGTTCTTTTGCCATGAAGGAATTTAAAAATCTGTGTTTGAAAATCATGGTTAAAATTGTTGTGTAAAAGAAAGAGGTGGTTTAGTGATGACAGCTGATCTTCTAACTCAGTGATTCTCAAAGTGTGGTCCCTGGACCAGCAGCTACAGTATCACCTGGGAAGTTGTCAGAAATGCACATTCTCAGGCCCCACCCCAGACCTAATGAATCAGGAACCCCGGGGGCGGGGCCCAGCAGCGTGGTCCTGATGCTGTTAGAGGTAGAGAACCACTATCCGAAGTTCTTAGAAGAGCAGGGGGTTGGGTGAGGGTGGGGTAGACCCAGGGTAGGGTGGGTTCAGGTCCTCCGACTTTTGTCTCCTTTACAACCTCCTTGCCACTGTAAGTTTTTAATTCTAACGTTGTAGTCAATAACTTTTGGACTAAACATCCACAAGCACACCCCCACCCCTCCCTTGAAGACAGATAATTCTCGGAGAAACATAGACTAAACCCATTAAGAGGAAATAAATTGGGACTTCCCTGGTGGCGCAGTGGTTAAGAATCCACCTGCCAGTGCAGGGGACACGGGTTCGAGCCCTGGTCCAGGAAGATCCCACATGCCGTGGAGCAACTAAGCCCGTGCACCACGACTACTGAGCCTGCGCTCTAGAGCCCGCGAGCCACAACTACTGAGCCCGCGCACCACAACTACTGAAGCCCGTGTGCCTAGCGCCTGTGCTCCGCAACAAGAGAAGCCACCGCAGTGAGAAGCCCGCGCACCGCAATGAAGAGTAGCCCCCGCTCGCCGTAACTAGGGGAAGCCAGCGCGCAGCAACCAAGACCCAATGCAGCCATAAACAAAATAAATAAATTTATATATATATATATAAAAAGGAAACAAATTATTTTCCTAACTGCCTCTTATCCATTAAGGAGCTTAGCCCTATGGGATCTGACCTTCGTTGTTAGGCAAATCATCATTCTTCTTAGTTCTCTTCTGTCTCCTCCTTTCTCATTGTACCCTGTAGGGTCTTGAGGGAATATGAGAGGCAGGTCTCAGGGTCCTGAATATGTTACACAGAGGCAAGCTTTGAGATTATTGCTCACCTAAATCCTTAGCCAAAGGCTCTTGTTCTTGGGTTTCAGCCTGGGGAAATGAAGGGGTTTCTCCCTGTAGGGAGTCAGGTCTGGAGACTCCAGGTACCATCTATGTCCCCTCTCTCTGTTTTTTTTACCCCTTTCAAAGTGGTAGCAATTGCCAAAAGCAGGGAACTCAAAAAGGCAAGTTGAAACCTTTCTCTATGGTCTGAGAAGATTCATTGAAAAGTCAGTCAAGAAAAGGCAAAATGTTTAATAAGCTACAGGGCAATAAAAACAAGCCAGGTGGTTTCTGCAGTTGCTGGGGGTGTCTAGGGGGCACTTACCTCCTGTGAGAAAAATGGGTCTAAAAGGAGACCAGTTAAACTAGGGAGCTAATCTAGTAGTGAAAGGGCTCCTTCAGAGAAGCCGGGAGGGGGCAGAAGAAAGCCAACTGGAAGAGCTTGTAAGTAAGGTTTGCTCTGAACGAGTGCTTGTGTGAATGGATAAATGTTAGCAGGAAATGGTAGTATTGAAATTTTGGCTCTTAGCTTCTCAGGTCAACGCTCACAAACTCTAAAGAGCAGAGAGAGATTTGCCACCAGGGGGCAGCAGAGCCTCACCGTGGAGACGAACCCAGCTGGGCAAACCACAGTCCATAAATTTACAGTACTAGGCCCACCCTGGGAGAATGTTCTCTTTCACCCAGTTTTTTTTGTTTTTTGTTTTTTGTTTTTTTTAGTGTGTAAATTTACATACCCAAGATGAGTCAAGTATAGAAGAGGTGCCTCTGTAATGTATGGCATGTGAAATGTGTACACATCAATCATGAACAGGGGAAAATGTGCCTGTCAACAGGCCTCAGTGCCTTAACTTGAAGGCCATCTCTGATGGCATTTGGAGTTTCAGGAATATGGGCCCCGTTTATTTTTCTCCCAGGGTTCTATGGAACTCAGATACGGAGCCGGGGGTGAGGTCGGGGGACAGGGTCGGGGAGGTCTAGGGAAAGGCAGGAAATGCTGTTTATTTGCTGAGCTGGGAGCCTGGGGCCACCACATCTTAACTCTGAGCAGGTTGAATCATGCAGTGAGAGAGGAGCTGATATGGGGGGGACGGTGAGCCTGGGTGTGGGAGGACCAGGGGGTTTTCCTTGCTGAGGGCTGTGTTCCTGCCCCGAGGGGCAGAGCCAGTGCTCAAATAGGGAAGTAGGTTGGTGGTTAAGTGTAAAGACTCTTGCACCCAATCCTATTGTTACAGGGTTTGAATCCCTGCTCTGCTTTGGCTTGAGAGCTTTTGGTGAGTTACTCACCTTAGTTGTGACTCAGTTTCCTTATCAATGAAATGGGAAAAGTAATAATACCTCCCTCATAGGGTTGTCATAAGGATTAAATGATTTTGTATAGATAGTGGGGCTTGACATGTAACACCATGAGGTGTTAACTATTACTATTATTGTTGTTATTGTTATCCAAAAGCGGGGCATTTCTAAGGTAAGTTGTTGGAGGAGGACATTGAAAGGATGTGACCACTGGTTGACCTGCAGTCTGGACCTGGGCTGTTGGAGGCTGTTCACCCCTCCCCTGCCCTTGGAATATGTGTTCTGCCTGCCATTCCCACACTAGGAGCCATTTCAGGGATATAGCCTTGACCTTGAAAGAGGAAGGTGTTGCTGAGACCGTCTGAACTGACTACGTGACTAAACCCAGGTAAGGCCTCTATTTAAACTTTAAAATTCTGGCCAGTGGATGCAGAGATCTACTTGCCTTTCAGCGCCCAAGACAAGGCTTATCTGTAAGCTCCCTTGCTTATTAAACCTGCCACCTGCCAATCCGGAATGGTCTGGCTGTTTTTCTTTGGTCTCTCCTTGCCCTCTGTGTACAAGGGGCCAGTTGCAGATTTCACCCAGGGAAGCTCCCGAGGGTGAGAACTAACATAAGTTTATGCCAGAACTGAGGCCCTGGGTGTCCAGGCTGATAGGTGAGGGCAGCAGCAGGGGCCATTCTGGGCAGGATTCTGGGCAGGGGCCATCCTTGATCTCAGAGGAGGCCAGCGGAAGACAGATGCACGCAGTGGCTGCAGGTGCAGGGGCGGACTCAGCCCCTGAAGGACCAGGCCTGGCAGTCAGCGTCCCAGACAAACCACTCAGGGTATGGGGTGGGCTCTGGTTCTAGGGCACATCTGGAATGGTGCTAACTGTGAGAAGTAACCCTAACCGAGCACTTACTCCTAACCAGGCTTTCCATGTTCTGATGCCTTTCACCCTGGCAACAACCCCAGGAGAGAGGCACTGTCGTTACTCCCACTTCACAGACGGTAACGCAGAGGCAAGGACAGGCTGACGCAATGCGCGTTGGGGTGGGAGGGACGAAGACCAGACAGAGCCTTGTCGCCAGCTCGGTGAGCCTCACAGGAGTTAGAGGGAGGAAACAGTGTGGCCTGGTGGACGTGCGGGTCTGCAGGCTCAAGCTGGCCAGACCAGGTCCCAGTCCTGTGGCAGCTACACCGACTGCAGGCCCCACTTGCCATTCTGCCAGAGACCACTCGGTACTACTGGCCTTGGTCTGGATGCCGGGGAGGGGCAGTGAGGGTCTGATTAGGGAATGATTTCCTGGGAGTAGGGGTATGGTCTTTGACCCTGGGCTGGAGAGAAGCTCCCGTGTTACAAAGGAACAAGACTCGGGCTACAGTGCCCTTGACCCAAGTGTGGAGGTTGGAGCAGAGGTAACTCAGTTGAACAGTTGCCTCTGGGGAAGGCTTCTGTTTGGTGCTCTCCAACATAGGTATTATTCGTATGCGAAAGAAAAGAACCTTTCATCTTTGAGCACTGTCATCTTTAATCATTAGAATATCTTTGAAGGGCTTCGATATTCCTTTTTATGCAATTTGCATGAAATGAGGTTTTAAAATATAACGTGTTTTAAAATGCACTTCGCAGATGAGTTAATGTGTATTTTTTAGTGGAGCCTTAACTAAAAATTCCCATTGACGGCAGTTTCCAGTGGTCTTAAGATTGGCACTCCCCTCAGTTTGAAATATCTCAAGTGAAACGCTTTGCACGCAGAGGTTGAATAGTGAGCAACCCTGCTCATTAGGTGAGCTGTGTATGGTGTGTCTTTTCCTGCTGCTGAATTGACAAGGGACAAATATAAATGGACTGTAATAACAGTACAACTCTGAAGAAAGACTAATAACCATGTTTTTAAGTAAAAGAGAATAGAATGAAAAATTGTATTGTTATCCTTCTGCTGTGTTTACTTGTGCAGTTAAGGAATAGATGTTTCTCTTACTCTGGATGGGGAGGCATCCAGCATCAAAAAGGGAGCACTGCAGAGAAAAGTCCAGCCCTTCTGGTCCAGTGGTGACACATAAGTATGCCTTTTTATTTTTATTTTATTTTATTTTTTCGTTACGTGGGCCTCTCACTCCTGTGGCCTCTCCCGTTGCGGAGCACAGGCTCCGGACGCGCAGGCTCAGCGGCCATGGCTCAAGGGCCCAGCCGCTTCGCGGCATGTGGGATCTTCCCGGACCAGGACATGAACCTGTGTCCCCTGCATCGGCAGGCGGACTCTCAACCACTGTGCCACCGGGGAAGCCCAAGTATGCCTTTTTAAACCTGGAGAGCAAGTTTGGCCCTGGGGAAAGTAGGGAAGTCATTATTGGGAGGCCAGTCAGTCACAAAATGCACCTCATGTTTCTTCTTAATTACAGACACTCGTGTCATTTTTGACCGTGCCTTCTTTGGGGAAGGGAAGGAGGGCCTCTGGACTGACCTTGAAATGTGGTCGCCTAGAGCTGGAGGTGATTGGACAGACTTATTTTCTTGATTGCCTGGAGTGGCTGTTCTGATCTCACAGTGGCTTCCCTCCTGTCTAGATGCTTCCCCTCTCCTTGGGACGGGGCTGCACACCCAGTGATGCTCCAAGGCCTCGGGTGCAGTTCTGGTCTTCAGGGCACCTGAGCTTGGGGTTAGGCAACTGCTCAGGGGCCTGCAGGCCATGTGCATAGTTGCTTATTTGGGAACACTGGAGACAGTTGTGCAAAGATTGTCTTTTGTCAACACTGCTTTTGAGGTCGTTATCACATTCATTCAGGGAATCTGCTTTCCTGCAAGAGTCTGGCACCAAGGAAGGCCCCTTCTGTTGGTCTGGAATGGTTTTAGGTGCCTCTTCATGTCTTAGCTTCCCCAGTTGCCTTGGTGTGAACTGTTCTAGCCTCCATAGACTAATGGACACTGTATTCATAATTGTTTCTTCATTTGCTGATGGTTATTTGGTCAAAATGAGTTTGCTTTAGAGAGCTGAAAAAGGGTTGAGAATGAACAAAGGGCAACTCAGCGTGTAACTAAGAAAGTCTCCGAGTGAGGTGGGAAGGTAAGGAGAAATAAAGATGGGTAGCACAAAAGAGAGAGAGGCTTGCTTGTTCATAGAGAGGATGCTGGGCTCCCCTGGGGAGGTCCTGAGACTCGGCATTTTTTACAAGAAGGCTGCAGAAACAGAGGGCTTGCCTCTTTAACAGAGAGGACCAAAGTCTTCACGATATCGTAAAGTTACATTACTTTTTTCCC